CAGAGTTTCCTGTATATGGCAGATGTGTATGCCGATTGAGGAATTTGCATTATTTCTAGAAGTACTGTATGCATATGAAATATATATTAGAAAATCACCGTGGGCATGTGGACTGTAAATATCAAATGCCCCACAGCATATTAACAACATCAAATAACAATCTTATGTTATCCCATACGCATGTAAGCATTATGAAATCGACGCTAAAACAAGGAAATAATTCTGTTTCACCCAAGGTGATGTGTTTAAGAACATTGGTTTTGTATGAAATAAGACACCCCGCAACATGTAATAATAGGTTAATCATATTTTATTCATCTGAGATTTGTAAACACTAACAGGCCAAACTGGCTTATGTAAATAACGCTCCCTCCAACACAACATATATTAAATACCGCATTCAGCAATATTCCAGCTATATGACGGCGGTCTGTAATTAATCTAGTCTGGACCAGACAGTCCTGTGATTGACATATTGAGCATCGATCCACGCAATTGGGATTGATGACATGCATCAACCAAGTCAGGGTCGCTGACTTTGTTGATGCATGTCATCGTTTGTTCGTTCGTTGTTTATCGCCGCACCCAGCAATATTCTAGCTATATGACGGCGGTCTGTAAAATAATCGAGTCTGGACCAGACAACCCAGCGATTAATATCATGAGCATCGATCCACGCAATTGGGATCGATGACATGCATCAACCAAGTCAGCGAGCCTGGACACCCGATCCCGTTGGTCGCCTTTTACAAGCATGGTCACCTTTTACGGCAAGCATGGGCTGCTGGCATGTCATCGTATCTCAATTGCTTGAATCCACATGCACATCAATTCCAACACATTTCTCCTGGGTTTTTTATATCTTTTTTCGCCACGGAAGTAATCAAGGTAATCGCCGTTTCACTTCGACTTACCCGATTTCATAATGTTTTATGCAGTAACTAAACTGAGCAAAAACTCCGTGAAACTATTTTTACCACAAGTTCGTTAAATTGTCGCTGTCTCGGCGCCTTATAACAGAGGCCCGCAAGCGCTTAGCACCACTGGTAATGCAAATATGATTCGCCAGGCATATGTCTTTTACCCTTTTCAACTGGTGTTCCCTTAAAGAACCACCAGTTGAAAGGGTAATAGACATATGCGCAACACGTTGGTATTTAATGCTTGCTAATCGTATATTTAAGCTTCATTTATCCAATGAGGACAGTCGGGATTTTATTATCGATTTCAATTGTGTGGCGGCAGATTCATATATAATATAACCCCAGATCCATATTGGTAATGCTTTACGCATGGTAATCAACCGCGTTATCGTGGTTCTAAATATTTGAATCTGCTGTCACAATTATTTTGATTGCTATTCAAATTCCACATGCCCCCAAATCCCAACACATTTTTCCTGCTTTTGATCTTTTTTTCACCACCGCGTTACGCATGGAGATTGGCGAAAATAGTCGAAAACAACCGTGTTCATTTGTGTACATGGTGTAAGCATTTGCATAATGCACTGGCGATACGGAACATTGAGGTGAACATCGCCATCACACACACATATATGCTGTCACAATTAAAATCGCTAATACAATACCACATGTCCCCCCATTTCCAACATATTTCTCCTGCTTTTTATCTTTTCTGAAAATGAAAGCCATTTATTCTTGTAATCGCCGTTTTTGACGACTGTTGTTGTCTATTCATATGTATAATAAAACCACACATACATATTTGTCAGGCGATACCCTTGGAAACCATCATGGTTATCATGGTTTAAAATATTGAAATCTGCTGTCACAATTCCAACACATTTCTCCTGCGTTTTAAATATTTTTCGCCACCGCGTTACGCATGGAAGGTGGCGAAAATAGTTAAAAACAACTGCGTTATAGCGTTCCGTAAGCATTTGCGATTCTAATGTTATCAAATTCGTAGATTCAAGGAAATGCCATAAATCCCTGTATAACCATGATAACAACTTCCGATAAGTTTATTATTACATAAACAGAACCACCTGCCCGACATGCTCATTACAGAACATTTCAATACATACACAGCACACAGATCACTTTTACGTTGTCCCATGACCTCATTGTAGACATGATAGAGCTACTGGTTACCGCCAGTTGTTTTTTTCATTTCTGTCACTCCGTGATTTCAGTTCGTGAAAAATGATTTAGTTGATCTCTGTTATAACGTGTATAACTTTCCCGTCGTCTTGACAGCACGTGCCACGTGATCACGCATATACGCTTCAGTTATACAAATGACATTACAAATTTGTCGTCTGCAAACCAATATTCCCCACATTCGATCTCTACATGCTATCATATGTACTATGGATTTCGATATATACACATGCTACGTACAGCTCAAATAGGTTTCAGAATTGTATTTTGAGAAAGAAATGACTGACCGATAGAAAGCAATGCCAGAACGGAAGTGCGTCATTGTGTTTTGTTTTTTATTTTCGAGTGAATAAGTCGCGATGGCCCACATGTCTTTGATAAAGCTGTATTCGGGCTTGGCGATTATTGTGGGTTTTTTTAAAAAAAATATTTCCTCACAAGTGTTTTGTCATTTTCGGATAAATCTTTCTCTCTTCCAATGAAAACGAGCAAAATTAAAATGATATCCCGTGCGACAACGGGGAGTTGGCGATAATTTATAGCCAGTAGCAATACAGTCTAAATAGTTTTGGTAAATAATTTGTTTACGAAATGTTGTGTCACATGATATGCAAATTAGGTGTAATGCCACGTCACCACTGCGCCGGAAATTAGCTTTTTGTCCGTCATCCTTTTGCCGGATCATGGTTGGTCAGATTACAACAATGGGTACCGTTTTTCAGATGGAAATCGCGCGGGTGTTAAAAATATTGAACTTCGTGGACATATCGTGCTTGGTTACCACATGTGACAAAGATTTCTCATGTATATATTCTGGCATTAAACAACGTGTCCGTGACGATAACTCAAGGTGACAAATGCCGACTGACATGACTAACATCCCACGAACGTCTTTCGCATGCTCGAATTATTCCGTACCGTTTCGCCACATAATAAAGTAGCGGAAGGGAACATTGAGGTGAGTATCGACATCACACACACATATATATGCTTTCACCAGTTCACAATTAAAATCGCTAATAAAATAACACATGTTCCCCCAATTTCCAACATATTTCTCCTGCTTTCGATCTTTTCTGAAAATGTATTTTCTTGGGGAATGTAATTTTCGATTCAATTGTTTGGCGGCAGATTTATATATAATAAAATACCACATACATGTTTGTCAGGCGATATCCACGGAAACCAACCGCGTTATCTTGTTTTAATATATTGAAATTTGCTGTCTCAATTCCAACACATTTCTCCTTTTTTTTCGCCACTGCGTTACAGTGTTCCGTAAGCATTTGCGATTCTCATGTTATCAAAATTGTCATACATAATTCATGGATTCAAGAAAATGCCATAATTCCCTGTATAAACAACTAAAAATTCTCGTGCAAAATTCGTGGGTTCGAGGAAATGCTGGCTTTGATTTTTTAATGAGGTGCCATAAATCACTGTATAAACAACTTGGTGACACTGACAAGTTTATTACATAAACAGAACACCTGCCCGACATTCTCATTACATAACATTTCCTGTGTGTTACAGCAAAGATCACGATTGTATTTGTAGGAATTACCATAATTAATTCACATGGTGTAACTTGCGTTGACAATACGATGAGACCTGACATTAGGCACATGTAGTCAGCTGATCCGGTCGAAGAACTCTCAAGTGGTCTGCACATCCGGTTAAGGAGCTCTCAAAATGTGACGAAAAGTCTTTTCTTGGATACCTAAGACAGTCAAAGCTCTTGAGAATTTCCTTATTCTCTCTCCAATGTCTTTTTGGTTGAAGGCAACATTGTATTACGCTTAATAATGACGATGTACTTATAGGTGTATATTTTATTGGCGCTTCTTCTTCTTGGCAGCTGATGGTAAATAAGCCGCACTCGGTTATCTCCCTTGAACGCACGCGAACGGCTTGCCCACCAATTCCAACACATTTCTCCTGCTTTTGATATTTTTTCGCCACCGCGTTACGCATGGAAGTTGGGGAAAAACATCGCGTTACGGTGCGTTATAGTATTCCTTGTGCATTTGTGATTCTAATGATATAAGTTTTATTACAAAATTCATCACATGAAGTTTGCAGTTGCCAATTGAAAATACCCTACTGTTTTGCATCATTTTTTTTAACATTTTCCCTTTCAAAGTCAAGATTACTGTTAATTTTTTTTTCAAAAGTACACTAATACAAACATTATGAATGTATGTTACTATTTGTGTCTTTCTTCATGCAAATTAATACTCTTTTGATACGAAAAAGGGGGAAAAAATGTAAAAACAGGCCAAACTGAATTTCTACACAGAGTTATGGGAATTGAATTGCTGCACGGGGAAGAGGCCACCCTAACTGGTGAGTCGAAGTATAGTATTAGTAGATCTAAGTTAATTGGAGTATCAGCATCTCACAAGAAATTACCTGAGTCTCATGAGTTTAACACAACCTAGTATTATAAGACAATCTGGGAATCTTTCAAATGAGTACCATTGAACAATAACTTTAATTATATCACGTAATGTCATTATCAAGTGATATTACAAGGGTACAGGCTAAAACGGCTATTGTATTACGTTCATCCCATTTGTAATACTTGTTTAATGTTGCACCAACATGTATATTCTATTATCTATATGTCAATATTTATTTGTACATGGGCCTGTGGCCTTATACTGAATAAAGAAATTAAACATTAATTAAAACGGCACCTCAGCAAAACGTCTGGCGAAAACGGCTACTATGTGTCGGGCGAAAACGGCACCTCTATTTTTAAAAACAATAACAATGATTTTTGTATTAATCATGTTAATATATATGGTTCATTTACATGGTATTTGATGTATTTACATGTTATTTGGTGTATGTGATGTATTTACATTGTATTTTCTGTTTTCACAGATAAGTACATATGTTTATATATACAGTTCTTCAGTTTTGTCAGCATGTCAATCGTCATCGTGTTCACAATTTTGGCCCATGTAAAATCGAATATTGTGAGAGTACATGGCTCAGGGAGAGGTCTCCATCCTTGTAAAAAATCTCCTCTTGACGAGATGTGGACAATTTGCTCACATACGCACTGAGTTGTCCCTCCTGAATGAGTCTTGACTGTAGAGGCAACAGACTGGCCTAGCTCTTTGAAGATCAATCTGTAGATCCCCAGGGACTGATACGACTGTGCCAACCTAAAACGTGAGAAAACATTTTAATGTATAATAAAAACATTTTTATTGTTTAATATAGTTTATTTTTATTGTGTGTATTTGTATTTGAACTATTTGTATTATTATTACCTTCCACAAAGTTGTTCGTCCTGACAGCTATGTTGAACACAGACCAGGATCTGGGAGAGAAGGTGGGATGAGCGATCCACTGGGCTTGAAAGTAGTTGATCAGATCACGCAGTTTGCCAGTGGCCGGGACACGCTCTGTTATTCTCAAAAACATCCTCGTGATGTCGGCTGCTGGTAGAAAGGGGAGTGCCATGATTTTCCTTACAAACTAGTGGATGACATCATCCACCATGTAGGCTACCTAGAAACAAGTGATATTTGGTATTATTTTTGTGTAAGATATATATGAGATAAAAATTACTATTTATTTCTATTACTGTTTTTTTATTTACAATATATTAAATATATATTATACCTGCAATCCAATTTCTTGACATTTCCACCAGACTGCTTGAGTCATGTGGAACAGGCATCCACGGATGCGGGATCTGGAAGGGTTTTACTGATTGCTTTCCACACAGCCTGTTCAAAGTCCAGGATTATCGTCTTCACTTGAGGATCGTTGGGAAGTGGCGGTGTTTCCCTTCATTGTAGGTGTCGTCCACCTGTATCAACGATGCCGGACAGGTTGTCTTCTTGTTCCTGACGCTGCAGCACCAGAATGTTCTGGTATCTGAAGTTTTCTGAAACAACCAAATGAAAAAAAAATGACATACTTACTTACTTAGATTATATTATATTCTTATGAGATATAAATAAATGTTTGTGTTTAAAAACAAGTGTAAATATATTTACCCGAACAACGTACGTGAATCCATAATAATCCACAAGCTTCTTTTTCTTTTTATTATTATTCTTAATTTTATATTTTTTGGCAAATACTTTGAAATAAAATAGTTACTTGTTACAGTCATATTCGTCTTCTTAGAGTACATGTGAAGCCATAATGTGATTTCCGATAGGTCTGGTACTCTCATTTCTTCTGCATCTTCTGACTGGAAACTGACATCAAAGTTACTGATCACCACTTCATTGATGGGATCTACGCATCTCAAACAGCGAAAAGGGAAGTCTTCTTCAGTCCAGCAAATTTCTCTATAGCGGGCCACAGAAAGTCCGGTTCCGCATACACGATGGGTCCACTGGTCACAGTTATCACAGGATACAGCACGTTGATTTTTCTGACATCCTTCTCACATGCAACACATCGAAAGGCCATTGTGAATAATTGTGATCTGACAGCACCATGTTAGGCCTCATAAATACAGTTTCAGCTTAAATTGAGTAAAAGTACTTAAAACTTCAAAGCGTATAGTGTTTTCACAATAAGATAACTGCGCCTCCCAATCAGAGTCGGCGAGTAAATTGGAGTAGGGGGCTAATTTCTTACTTGTTTTATTTCACAGTTTCACAATTATTTGTGTTTGTAAGAGACGATGTGAGTTTAATTTCTATTATTTTTCTTCAAAGCATGTTGTTTTCACAATAAGTTGTGTTGCGTATAAGCTAAGTTGGATTATAGTTGGAGTAGAGGCTAATTTCTAATGTAAACTTGTTTTAACATCTCACAATAATTGGCGTTTGCAAGTTACAATGTAAGTTCAATATCATTTATTTGACCAAGGTAAAAAAATATAAGGTGCCGTTTTCGCCAACGGTGCCGTTTTGCTGTGGGGCCGTTTTCGCTATAACCCATATTACAAAATCACATAGTGGTATGGGTTCAAAATCGTGAGAAAGTTTGGGATTAAACTCTGAATCTTTTACAAATTGCAGTTTTATCTGGAAGTCTGTGTTGTCAACGTTGCCCGATAGCAGTTTAGTGTCCTCTTTGAGTACTGACTTTCTTTAGTACACTTTGTTCTTTCCTTGCATGTGAAACTTTTGTTTGCTACTTGTTCATTGGATTGTTTTGTATTTTGAATTCATTATTTGTTTGTAAACAATTACATTTATTTGTAACATTTATTCGTTATTCGTAACATTTGACTATTATTGCGTATGTTTGTCCTTTATTTCAACTTTGTAATTTTAGACTAGATGGTCAGCCATAGACTTTAGCTATGAAGATTTAAGCTCATTACATATTTACACAGTAATATAGTGGATAACATTACTTACTACTGCTATTTCTGTTTCAGTATCCCACAGGAATCCTGTCTGTGTACGACCGTCCAACATTTCCTTCCTGGCAGTTCCATCTCAGGTCCCTTTGAGGGGGGTAAGGAAACAAGGGCCTGACAAAGTCTCTTCTGAAGATGAAACGGATGATCAGGGAGTGACACTTGATATTTTGAGAGTTGCCAAGTCAATATCTTCTAAACTGACAACATCACGTGACTCATGTGTGGAGTCAGGTGTTGAGTATCACAGGGAGCATCTACTACCACATAAGTCTTTTGTAGCACATTCCAGTAGCAACATCAATACAATGGTTGGTTTACAACCTACAAGTGCTGAAGCTGCAATGTCTGGTTCTGAGTTCACACTAGAAACAGGTTTAAGCAGAAAGGATTCTTTGTCCTGCACATCTGCAGGTGAACAGGAAGATGGTGGCCATGCCTCTCAGTCATCACAAACTTCACCTCCTCAACCAAAGTCAGCAGCCAAAAGCAATTTATCTATCAAGCAGAAGAATACAAAATCCGGGAAAAAGGCTTATGTTTCTAAAGCCCTTGTGTTGTCTGGGTCAGAAGATGGTCAAGCTATCTCTGTGAAACCATCAACAAGGTCATCACCCGTGACTTCCTCGCCACCATCACCCCTGGAAATTCAAAGTGAAAAGACTGATAATCTACAAATGATCACCTGCTTTGAGTCCATGAGGTAAATGTTTAATCCCAAAGTATTCAGCTGACCTTGACACCGTCAAAGTGAGCTTCCGTCGTCCATCTGTGCACACATCCCCTTCCATCTGTTTAATAGCACTGAGCTTAGAAAACCCTCTTCTTCAAAACAACTCAACTCATCAGTAGATCTATCCTAATTTCAGTACACAGAAACATGCCACAAGTCACACAGCAATGCAGAGAGGTCATTTTGAATAATTCAAAATGGCAACCTTGGTGCATTTTTGTGCCAGCAGCTTTTGTGAAAATCTTTTCTTCAAGGCCACTAGACTTAAACAGGTGTTTTCTTAGTTCTACTAATGTATTAGTAATTTTGATTCGTAAGTACTAGTTGCACAAGTGTTATCTTTCGATCTCTCAATTATGGCATCCTCCCCTCCTCTGTCAGCTTGTCACAAATGTGGTCGATTTATTATCTCAGGCGACCCACACATAAAGTGTTGGAAGTGCAGAGAATCTACCTCTACAGAGGACGGTCACTGTCCCCTCTGTCGCCCTCTTTCCAAGAAATCCTTCACCTAAGTGACACTATCACAAAGGCTAAGAGGAAGGATGCGACCAAGAGAAAGGTTGATGACATTATCTCCCAGACTGATAAACAATCTACCCCTCTCCTTGATCAACTGTCCGACACTCAACAGTCGTCTGTGCTGCCGGCACATCTGGTGCTTCCTGTTACCCAGCTGGACCAATTATTTGCTCAGTAGAAATCTGTGAATCTGTGATGGACTTTAGTCTTAAGGGGATTTACTTGACATGGTCAGATTCGCTGGCTGGGTTGATGCATGTCATCGATCCCCATTGCGTGGATCGATGCTCATGTTGTCAGTCACTGGATTGTCTGGTCCAGACTCAATTATTTACCTACCGCATTCATGTAGCTGGAATATTGCTGAGTGCAGCGTTAAATAACAAACAAACAAACAAAACTCCCCAATCATCTGTCTCTGGTAGACAGGAGGTTTTCCAGACAGGGAAGAGGACCCCAGTTGAAAATCTGAAAGTTTAGAATGGTGTGATTGCAGCCAAAATACAGGATTTCTGGCAATGATGTAAAAGAGGTAATATTCTTAGATTTATAAACTATTGTTCGATAATTGTAATAAAAACAATATGCTCAATATGCCCTTTGGCTTGAAACGACAATTTAAGAACTGTGTGTATTCATTCTTCAAGTACCATGGAAAGAAATCAGCTTATGAAAGTCCACTATATTATACTATACTATACTATTGTGTTTGACACATGTTTGAAGAGAAAAAGTCTTCTTAAGCAGTAATAGCTCAGCCCTCAGCCCAATTAAGATTGTTGACGCCAAAAAGGTAATCTTCTGAACCTCTGGTTTTTCCCTAGCGCCTGGCCTGAACATCCTGAGCTCACATCAGGAGGTAGCATCCTTTGTGAACTTCTGTTTGACATCTCAACAAAAACTTGCAAACCTTGTGAAGCAGAAACATTAAGGAATTACCTTAGCAATGGTTTTAGTGGACATTTGAAGATGTTCAGGCTATTATTAAATCATTAATGCGTAATTTGATAAAATAATACATATTGGTATATTGATGTCGGACCCGGCTGTGATCTTTGTGACCCTTCCTCTGGGAGTGGCAACACACTTTCAGTATGTCTTGCCTGACACCACTCACATTTATCCATGTACAATTATTTCATTTTTGTTGGGTGTATTTGTGATATTAATAATTGCTGCAATGAAATCTTGTCTGGTCATCTATAATCATTTTCAAAAATACTTTTTACATGTGTCTCACTGGACTGGCTTAAAGTGTGAAGCTGCTAACTTCTGATATATACACTCAGACAGGTAACAGAATAACATTGCTTATACAGTCAGATGTAGCCTCATCAGCTATGTTGCACAGTCTATTATTACGTTTCAGTTCAGAAAATGGGAATGCTGCGATGTTTGTTAACTCTGATCCAAGGATTCATGAGTTAGATGGTGATGTCTGTAACTACAGACTCTGGCTTATCAAGATGCCAGCTGAGGTAGGAGGACATTATTTGCATATGAAGAATTTATGTAAGATTACTGTTTGACGTTCGGGAAACAATATAAGTTGTAGTGCTCAGGATCACTTGGCGTACATTGGGTTTAGGATTTATACCACTTGCCGGGACTAATGAGGGACGCATAAAACTCCATGTACCCTGAGTGATCTTGCTACAACAAAATTATCTTACCAACATGTTTTATTATGACATTTTAAAAGAATTCAAACAAATTCAAAATTGCTAGAAAACAGCTGTTTGATTGAGCTGAGGTTAACTTGTGCTATGTAACATGACTTCCATTGACTCGAAAAGCGTGTGCGGCCTTTTGCTTCGAAGCGGGGCATAAGAGATTTATTCTGCCTCTCAGAAATCCATGTGCAGCCTCACTTGCATGTGGAGAGGTATAAGAGATTCATTCCCCCACTGAGAAATTTATCTCCCTCCATGGCGGGATACAAAAATCACGTGGCCCAACCAGATCTCATCATTCTGAATTGGAGGTATGATAATAGATTATATTTTATAATGCAAAGTTTCCACCATTTTCATCAGCATAGAAGCAGTCATGTCAACACATATAGACTCCTAAGGTAGGGCTGATTATATATGTTATTGACTTGTTACTAAAAATAGATTAGAATTATATAATATAACAATTATCGACTTAATATGAGGTCAATAAAGGACCCGAAAAAAGCGATATTTGCCGAAGATGTTATTGTTGCTATCATGGTTTAATATGATGAATCTGCTTTTCTCTCTTTATTATTGTAGGTTTTATGTGAGGTCATGAGGTCATTGTTTATGTCGCTTTTTCATGTTATTGTAGTTGGTTTTTATCCCCTGCCGGGCCAGAATGGCCGAAGGGGGATTATGTCATGGACGTCCGTCCATCTGTCCGTCCCACTGAGGGTACTAAGCTTGTGAAATCAACTCCTCCTACAGTTTCCAGAGAATATCCCTGACACTTTACACACAAGATGTTGACATGTTGATGATACGCATATCACAGTCCCGTTTCATTTCGACTAATTTTGACAGAGTTACTGCCCCTGTTTTGCAGAGCTTCATTTGCCTAATTGTGAGAGAGATACTAAGCTTGTGAAATCAACTCCTCCTACAGTTTCCAGAGAATATCCCTGACACTCTACACACAAGATGTCGACATGTTGATGATACGCATATCGCAGTCCCGTTTCATTTCGAAAAAATTTGACAAGAGTTACTGCCCCTGTTTTACGGAGTTTCATGAAATCTTCTCCTCCAGTTTCCAGAGAATATCACAATATCTAACTATAACTATAACTATAGTTAGTTTCCTTGTATAAGGCTTTTGTGGGTGAGCTACATCCTTATGGCATTAGCATTCAGACTGGATTACTCCCAACAAAATGTTCTGCACAATTGTTTCAAATGCAGTGCTATCTACTGTTGTTATTTCATAAAATACAGAGAAAATATGAACTCGTTCAAAAAATTTATGCGGGGGATGTTGTGCTCTCAGAGCACTCTTGTGTTGTTTAACACCACATTCAGCAATATTCTAGCTATATGATGGTGGTCTGTAAAATAACCAAGCCTGGACCAGACAATTCAGTGACATGAGCATTGATCTAAACTTTGGGATACGATGACATGCATCAACTGAGTCAGCAAGTTTGATCGACCAATCCCATTAGTTGCCTCTGACAGCAAGAATGGGTTGCTGAAGATCAATTCTAACACAGATCTTCACAGTGTTATAGTTCGAGGTTGATATTCCTTTTTAAGGGTCCATTGAAACAGGTACAACATCATATAAAATCAATAATTGTATACTAACATGATAAAGCTACATAAAGAAATGACTGAAAGATAGTGATGCTTTCAGATGCCTCTGTTGGCGCTTCCAAAACACATCACACTGGATGGTATTCAAGATTTTGCTGTGGAGAAGGTAACTAGGCACCAGTGTACCAGGGTTAATCCACCAAGTACAACATGTACAATAAGTTGAAACTTGAAACCATTACAAACTAATTATACCCCCGACCTTTTAGGTCAGGGGTATATAGTTATACCAAGGCTCCGTCCGTCCGTCCGAAAACTTTGTCCGCGTGATTTCTCTTAAACTATTCAGTGGATTCATCTCAAACTTAGTACCGGTACATATAATCTGTGTCATATGGAGGGATGCAGTCAAAAGAAAAAAATTGTTATTATGAATTTTCCATTTTTTTTTTAATTTTTCAAACCCTAACGTCCGTCCGAAAACTGTCTGCGTGATTTCTCTTAAACTATTCAGTGGATTCATCTCAAACTTAGTACATATAATCTGTGTCATTTCCATTTTTTTATGAATTTTTCAAACCCTAACCATTATTTAATTTGAAACTACTGACACACTAGACGAGTCGGGGGTATTAGTGAGCCATGCTCACTTTTGCCCTTGTTCTTTTTGAACTTACCCTCCTTTACCCCTTAATGCTCTACTTCTGTTTTTTGACAGAAAGCCGAAGACTTTGTTCCAACCAGTGGTGTAGCAATACCCACACACAGCTGCCACTTGACCCGGGAGAGGTAACGTCACATAGGAGTGCATTACTGCTTTGTCAGTCATCACAGTCAGATGTGTTGCTTGTGAAATCAAGATTCTGCAGTTTTCAGCATCCTTTGCATCTTATTTAAACTTCATTTTTAATTGATATTGTGTTGTTGTATATGGTTTGTGCTTTTTAGGTCTTATCCATACGTATTTTATGTTAAATTCCCGCAAGTTTGTGGCCTTTAGTAATGGTAATTACGGTCGTAATGTTGTTCAATTGTGCCATTTTGAATTCGCCACGTGGCCAAGCTCTCGTTGTTTTGTGTTGTGAATTTTTATCCCCCCCGGCATATAATGCGGGGGGATATAGCGATCAGCCAGTCTGTCTGTCCGTCTGTCCGTCCGTCCGTCCGTCCGTCCGTAATCATTTCCTTTTCCGGGGCAGAACTCGAAAATAATTCAGTGTATTTTATCGAAACTTGGCATATCTATCAGTCACATACTGAAGTTGTGCCTTTTGCTATTAAGGAATTTTAGAAATTTTTATTTTTTTTACGTTTCCCTTGTTACAAGTTGGACTTAGGTTCTATAAGGGTGGTGTTCGTTTCCGGAGCGTAACTCAAAAACCATTAAATACTTTCTTACAAAACTTTGCATGTCTATCAGACTCATGCTGAACTGGTGCCTTTTGCTATTTAGGAATTTTAGAAATTTTTATTTTTTACGTTTACATTGCAACAAGTTGGACTTAGGTTCTATAAGGGTGGTGTTCGTTTCCGGAGCGTAACTCAAAAACTGTTAAATACTTTCTTACAAAACTTTGCATGTCTACCAGGCACATACTGAACTGGTGCCTTTTGCTATTTAGGAATATTATAAATATTTATTTTTTATGTTTCCATGGTAACAAGTTGGACTTAGGTTCTATAAGGGTGGTGTTCGTTTCCGGAGCGTTACTCAAAAACCGTTAAATACTTTCTTACAAAACTTTGCATGTCTACCAGGCACATACTGAACTGGTGCCTTTTGCTATTTAGGAATTTTTATTTATTTTTTTTCTAGTTTACATGGCAACAAGTTGGATTTAAGTTTTCATATAGGGTGGGTTCACTTATGGAGTATAACAAATAAATTGTTAAATATTTCCTTGCCAAACATTGCATGTCCATATATAAAGTACATACTGAACAGGTGCCATTTGATATTAAGGAGTTTTAGAAATGTTTATTTTAGAATTTCCATTGCAGCTATTTTGACATGGGCTAAGAGAAATGTTGGGTCAGTTACCTGGTTTGGGACCATAACGTGTTAAAATGGGTGGGGGATATAGATGACTTCGTTGACTATACGCTTGTTTCTTGTAATTTGTCATTTGTTTGCATAAAAAAAAACCCACACAAACACACGTTTTACTTTCTATTTCATATGGATGCGACCATGGTGGATCTTTTGTTGGTAAACAATGTATGCTTCTAAAAGAACATTCAACTCTTGACTCATTACATACAGAATTGCACATTTACTTGTGGTTACTTTACAGACAGCTGCCGGGGGGATATGTCATCTTTCTGATGACTCTTGTTTTCTTTTGTATTGGTAATTCATTCTACTTATTACCTATCACTGTGTATGTTTTGGGTGTTTGCGTAAATCTCTCTCTTATAAACCAAAGAATTTTTGAGTTACAAATTACCTTCCGTGTCTTGTCGAGTGTTTGTATTATAGGCATAAAAGTACAGTAATTAACAACTAATTAAAGTAATTAACAATTCATTAGGACACCTCCGTGATTGTATATAAAGGTCAAGAAGAGGAGTTGAAACCAGTAAGATGTAAACATAACACATTGATATATATATAGGAGACGGGCAGCTCTGATAGTTGAAGACTACGGGAGCATACTTGGCCACGAGTAACCAGGGGTGAGGGTAGTAGGTCGAGGGCTATACATAAATGAAAAACAAGTGGAACAGAGATGAGAGGGACGGAAACGTCAGGGTCTTGAGACATATATGGTATTGGGGGGGAATAGTTCGAATTCCAAAAGGGTGAGAAGCTACATCATGGCAAGTCCGAATAAGGTGCTGGTTATTAGATAAGAGTGGGTTAGAATGATCTAGTGTAGGGGGGAAAGGTGGCTGACCAATGATAGATGGAAAAATGAGTAGAGCTGTGACGTAGGTACCGGTTTAAAAAGGGGCAAAAGCCCCAAATCGAGGGAACGGATAAGAACGAATAGAGAATGTCTAGAGAACGGCTAGAGACGGCTAGAGAGCGGCTAGGTAGCGGCTGCGGCTGGGGAGACTACATCTGGACTGGTGCTCCGCTCTCGGCTTGTTGTCATGATCGTTCGAACCAGAAACCAAACCTAGGCACCAGCATTTCGACTGAGACTGAAGCCTTGCCGCCGAAGTCTCATAATTAAGTGACAATTAGAGTGGGTTGACCGGCAACACAAAGTTGGAATAAAAGCTGTTAAACGAAGATCACTCTTTGTGCTTGTTGGAGGAATTACGGTAATAGGTCCAAGGCCCTCGGGTACTGACATTGTACCTCTCGCTCATCCCAGACAGTCAGCACCAAAGAACGAGGGGATTACCGTAGTTCAGGTGAAGAGGTACACCGATTGCCACTTGATTGCCACTTCTAATTAACAACAATTACCGGCGATTAACGTCGTTAAAATTACCTTGGATATTTGAACGTTTGTGAATTTGATTTTGCATAAATTACAGATTTATGACTTGTTGTATTGTTTGTCACTAAAACAATCTAGCAGGGACCCTCATCCCCTCAGTCTAGACTCCTGTTCAACTTTGTTGTAGTGTTGTTTCTCTAAAGGACTTCTCCCTCAATTTGAAGGCTGCACAGAAACGATGTACGCAGCATGTTTGCCATCATCCTATCATGTCTGACCTCGATGCATCCCCATCTAAAACAATTAGTACTGCTCCGGCAGTTGCCACAGTCGAATTCGGTCGCCTGCACGTCTCACTCACCACCAGTGCCTTAGGTTACAACAGCCATATCTGGTAACAACCATTTCCCTGGACCAACTGCTCAACCATGTCAACAGCTGCCCTACCAGCTGCCCTACCAGCTGCCCGAAGCCACAGCATGTCCTACCTGCCTCATTTATGGTTCCTAGTTGGATGCAAGCTTGGATGCTGTCCATGTTTTGACTGACCATGGCGCCAGCAGCACCTCTGGCGCACCTGATGCCAGCTGCTACACCTATAACTCAATCACCTACTGCCCCAGTGGTGGTGGCGGTGCCGCCTCTGACGTTGACACATCCGGCAGCAGCAACCCTATTGGTAGTCCCGACACCATCGGTGCCTCCTATCAGCTCCTTGACTCCACTTACAGTGCCAACTGTACTACGTCCTTTCAGGTCACCATCTTGCCACCAGTGCTGTCCTCATCTGCCTCTGTGGCGCTCTTGTAGACAGAGATCCTCCGCCTTCTTCTAATGCTAGATCATCACATGGTTATAACACTCCCAGTTCCTCCCAGCGCAGCTCTAAATCATTCAGATCTGTTTGCTGTTCACGGAGTTGCTCTTCTGTCCATAGAAGTGAACATACTAGGACTCCTCAGGGGGAACCTTTGTGCCGGACTTGGACACACATCTTGTAATGAACCAAGTCAACAATTGGATGGCAGACAGGTTGGCTTCCATAGTGACGTCCTGGGACCAGATGTGGACAAGTGGGACACTATCTGGTCCTACCCGACGTCTGTTCCTCCCGATCCTAGGTTGACAGTACTCACTTGTTTGATGTGGCTGATGGCACTCATGTCCTTGACGGCAACCTTTTTGACACTTTTCAGAATCTCTGAGGACCAACACCTCCCCTGTTACGGATCCAAACGCCCTCAGCGTCCCTTGAGAAGACACCCGGAACCTAGTTTGATTTTGGTCATGCCTTTTGATGGCTGTTGAGAAGTTGGCTCGTGGAGCCAAGAAATCTTACCAGAGACAATCCACTCAAACTTCCGGTTTGGCCAAGCCCTCTACTCCATCCACACAGCAAGCTGACGCATCCCATCCGACACGCTTGGTACATTTGCAGAGAGCATAAGGTGCCTAGGGGGCTGTATGGTGACAAGGGACGTTGCTTTGAGTCTTATGGTAGAGAAGGCATCAGGACCTCTGCTTCCCGCAGATACTTGGCTGAATTTCTACTCTTCCTACACAGCAAATGTCACCTCACCTCAAAGGCTCTACTATTTCTACACACCTAGTTGCCATTAGTTTTGGTGCTATCCGTTCCAGAAGATCGCCGAATGACGAAAGTACTGGAATTACAAGCTTTGCTGCACTTGTTTCATCTGGAAGATCAAAAGATCAAGTTCAGACCCCCAGCCTATGATCTGAACATGGTTTTACAGTTGTTGTGGATGGCTCCCTTAGAGCCATTGCATTCATCATCTTTTGACAACCTCAGACGTCTCCGGGAGCTCATGGGGACATTCATCTTGGGTTGTGCTGGGATTTCATTGCCAAGGATTAACTCCCAGGACAGCCAGACAGGTCATTCACCATCCCTCGACTTTCTTCGATTGTGATGAAGGGAAGCTGTTATTATGCCCAGTGTGGGCTTTCCACGAAGCACCTATTTATTTCGGTTTACCCTACTTCACAGACAGAGGTCAACCGTAATGCCATCTACCTATGGCTGTTGGCGGTCATTCTCCAAGCATATGAAACAGGCCTACCCCAACCCTCACAAGATTTGAGCAGTTGCAACTGCTCTATCAAGTCTATTATGGAAGGGTGTTTTTGGCACTCTCATGTCGTCTTCTCAAGCCACGAGGTGTGGCCTTAGAGGATGTTGCTGGTGTTCATCATTTTGGTCCCTTGGTGGCTCAACAGATCACCAACCCCTGGCATCACTGATTCTCTCAAAGTCTCTGGTGTTTATTACTGTTCCTTTACCTGGTGTTCCCATATCCTTCACACTCTCGTTTTCCTTCTGACGGGAATGGTCATTGTTTCCGGTCTTCACTCAGGATCCTGTACTGGTTATTGGGATCTTGACGACAATTTATTTCGGAGCACCATCTGATAAAGATGCATTAAAGGAGTAATGCAGGATAAGTTATTAAAATCTAATATTTTTTACATTTGGATACTTAACCTACATTACTTCATCCCATCGCAGTGCTACCTCCCCATGAATTCTTCAGATGTTATGTTTTAAGCAGTAATGTTCTCTTATGTGACGTCACCACTTCCGGGACACGTGGCAGCTGTTTTGGAACAAGGTCTTTTGCAGCTAGACCTTTTCACAGCTTTGTCTTTATGTCTAAAAATAGCAGTAAATGCATTAAGGAGTAATGCAGGATAAGTAGGGCTGGCTAAAAAGATAGATAATCGGAATTGTCAGCGATGGGAAGTAATATTAACGATTATCGATATGAAATTGTTGTAATTGATAATAACTTACCATATATTGCCATCTATAGTATAAAGTGACCCCATGTAAAAGTCTTCAAATTCAATGCTAATTTGTATACCCTTTCCATAAAGGGAACAGGAATGAAGCACATCACTAGCACATACACAGTCCCTACATTTGCTTTATAAATGTGTTTGTCTTCCGCAGAAAAAAAATCCTTCGTATCCCTTAAGCTTTGGAATTTGAGATAAAACATCACTAGACATGATGATTTACCAATTGTATTTTCTGTTCTGCGAGGCATTGTTTTATATGCAGAGATTAAGATAATCATGTGTATTGTCTCCAAACCAAGCTGGATGCAGCAATCAGCTGTACACGCGTATTTCTTGGAATCTACCGGTGATTCGATTAAAAAGTATCCAATAACATAACTTTAAAGAATTTTGATACAGTGATTGGAAGAATTGTATCTGAAACTATTATTTTATCAGGAATAATATATTCCAATATTATGTGACTGTGAAATACTGAGTGGCTATGTAGGGTTGTATTAGGTGGCTGTAAAATACTGAGTCAGTGAGTGGCTATGTAGGGTTGTGGGAGGTGGCTGTGAAATACTGAGTGGTTATGTAGGGTTGTGGGGGTGGCTGTGTTATACTGAGTGGCAATGTAGGGTTGTGGGAGGTGGCTGTGATATACTGAGTGGCTATGTAGGGTTGTGGGGGTGGCTGTGAAATACTGAGTGGTTATGTAGGGTTGTGGGGGTGGCTGTGATATACTGAGTGGCTATGTAGGTTCTGGGAGGTGGCTGTGATATACTGAGTGGTTATGTAGGGTTGTGGGAGGTGGCTGTGATATACTGAGTGGCTATGTAGGGTTGTGGGAGGTGGCTGTGATATAGTGAGTGGCTATGTAGGGTTGTGGGGGGTGGCTGTGATATAGTGAGTGGTTATGTAGGGTTGTGGGAGGTGGCTGTGATATAGTGAGTGGCTATGTAGGGTTGTGGGAGGTGGCTGTGATATAGTGAGTGGCTATGTAGGGTTGTGGGAGGTGGCTGTGATATACTGAGTGGCTATGTAGGGTTGTGGGAGGTGGCTGTGATATAGTAAGTGGTTATGTAGGGTTGTGGGAGGTGGCTGTGATATAGTGAGTGGTTATATAGGGTTGTGGGAGGTGGCTGTGTTATAGTGAGTGGTTATGTAGGGTTGTGGGAGGTGGCTGTGATATAGTGAGTGGCTATGTAGGGTTGTGTGTTGTGGCTGTGATATAGTGAGTGGCTATGTAGGGTTGTGGGAGGTGGCTGTGATATAGTGAGTGGTTATGTAGGGTTGTGGGAGGTGGCTGTGATATAGTGAGTGGCTATGTAAGGTTGTGTGAGGTGGCTGTGATATAGTGAGTGGTTATGTAGGGTTGTAGGAGGTGGCTGTGTTATACTGAGTGGCCTCTGTAGGTTCTGGGAGGTGGCTGTGATATACTGAGTGGTTATATAGGGTTGTGGGAGGTGGCTGTGATATACTGAGTGGCTATGTAGGGTTGTGGGAGGTGGCTGTGATATAGTGAGTGGTTATGTAGGGTTGTGGGAGGTGGCTGTGATATAGTGAGTGGCTATGTAGGGTTGTGGGAGGTGGCTGTGATATACTGAGTGGCTATGTAGGGTTGTGGGAGGTGGCTGTGTTATACTGAGTGGCTGTGTAGGTTCTGGGAGGTGGCTGTGATATAGTGAGTGGTTATATAGGGTTGTGGGAGGTTGCTCTGATATAGTGAGTGGCTATGTAGGGTTTTGGGAGGTGGCTGTACAATACTGTGTCAGTGAGTGGCTATATTGGGTTGTGGGTTGTCAGTAGTTGTATTTCATAGAAGCAAATCTTATTTATTTATTTTTTATGATGCATCCACTAGAAACTACATTAAAATTGGTAACAGCAAATCTCAAGATGATATTTCCCTCTGATAAAGTAGTATGCCTTCAAACTTCACATGAACATGTTTACAATCAAAGCATGAACAATTGAATGAACAGAAATTATATTGATTTGTTTTGCAAATTTGTGTCTCTATTAACATTGATATTTGTTAGGGCGAATTTCAGCATTTTGACAAAAGTCTTCAAATGACTAATTGTACTGAATTTATTGACAGTCAATCTAGTGTCTTGAAATTAAACATAGTGCTTTTAAAACTAAGAACGTGTTTTTCATTGCATAAATTGAAAATGATGATAATTGATTTTTGAAAATGCAAACTAACCTGTCCTCCCAACTTTTAATGTATTTTTCGTCTCCAAAACCTTTAGTTAAAATGACTGAAATATTGAAATACCTCTAATCTTTACTGTGAATGAGATGGAATTTGAATTGTTTTGGTATTTTCTTCTCTTAATGACAACAAACTTTTTGTTTTACTTTATAGAAAAGATACGAGCTGCGATCCTTTGATGATGATAATCTTGAGGTAAGTGTACTTGGCAATTGTGAAATCACAATTTGAATTGTTCGTGACAACTCTGACAGTCCAAAGTGCCACAACACGAAATGAAGGTGACTTGAAGCTAATGTTGGTGACAAGAAATGTCCTTCCAAGTATGTAACAACCCTCAAGTCATCTGGAGTATGCGTCGTCATTGAAGCATACTGGTTAGTTGACGGGGTACACTCACACACAAAAATATATACATACACTAATATCAATCAGGAATTGACCTGTGCTCAACAACATTCCTAAAGGAGTTACAGGAAGTAATGAATGAAAATAATGTTACTTGAGTTTAAGATTATTTAGTTCATTCTTGACTAGTTGAAAAAAAGTGGTAACAAAATCCATATTTTCAAAATGAATTGATGAAATAAACCTCCACAGGCTAAAACAAAAATTAATAGTCTTTGGTTCTAGATATCTATTTAATTTCATCGCAACCTGATGGACTTTTTCACTGCTTAGATGTTGGACAAAGTCATTTCTAGGAAATCAACGCAACGCGTCATTTCATAGAAGTTAACATGACAGAGTGAAAAACATGCTGAACTATATTATTTCTCCAACAAACTTTAGAGAATAACAGGATTTTGGTTATTTTGAAGTTGTCCTTATGTACCAGTTGTTTTGATATAACTCCCCAACAGTAATTGATATAAAGTCTTATGACTATCTCTCCACCCCGAACTTCGACATGACTGAACTTGACTACTTCTGTTACTCTTCACTGTCCATGGCTACCGAAATAGTTGTTCACAGTGACAGTGCTATTTATGAATTGCAAGACCTGGAGGACCTCTAATTATGTTCACAATCACATGAACATTTGCAGCCTCATTGCCAACAGAAGTTAAGCTGAAAACTGACAGTGAGGGCGAGACTGCTCAGTTTTGTGATGGGTGATTGTGTGGCCCTGACTCAATGCTTAATGTATGGTTTACTTAATTGTGTGTGTTTTGAAACAGATTTCAGCATGTTTGATAAGCTGTTGTTTAAGAAATAAACGAGTGGGAGTTGTTTATCATACAATAAAACACTGCAGGGAGAATAAACCAGGAGAGGTGCAGTGTTTTATGATCCCATCAGTGTTTTTTTGCATTTCTTATAGCATGCCAGCATTATGTACAGTCTCCTGAAGGATGTTAATAAGATGTACAAACTTTAACAATATTTACCCATATTTAATTTTACATAACGATGGCTCCCTGAATACAATCTATGGGCAATGTTGGAGAAGTCCATTTTATGAACAAGGGGGTAATGTTTGGTATTTCTAAGATATTCACACAATTTTCACTTTGATTACATGTACCTTTTCTCCCAATACTGATTGTCATAGCTCTTCTGCTTAAGGTGTGATTGTTTGACCAGTGCGTTTAACTATGTTGCCCAGCTATATCTATGGGGAACAACTCACTGGACACTTCCCTCTCAAAAATAACATTGTTCGGTTTACAATGTCATCAAGTTGCGAGTGCATGTTCAAGTCTGTAGAAATGACGTCACAATATAACAATGTTTTATCATGAAATAACCCACACTTCGTTTTTTATATGCATTAATGCGTAGGCTGTTGGTAGATAAGAGTGATTATTAATATTTGTTACATAAATGACTCCTTGTCACGCCTTTTCGGAATGTTAAAAAACAGTGCACCTTTGTACCCCATGTGTTATTTTATTCTGATGCATCGCGATACTTGACCCACTATATGATACACGATACATGTGGGCCTATTTATCGATACTCCACACTACGGAACACAAATTTTAAGTACAGTGTTCCTCACTATTGTACCCTTCAATAAAACGCTAAACCGATTTTAGCACGCTGTAACACATGGCTACCAAAACTTACCTACATTTTTAATAAGCTCAAGTTTTACTTTGACACAATGTTTTTTCCCCATTGCAAAAAACATCATCAGCTGATCACCGCAAGCTGGAAATACCAGTCAGCAAATCCAAAATCAATCCCAATTTTATACTATCTGGTTACAAAAAAGCATGTTCATTGTATATCTGGACTGATGTTTGTAATATATTTTATTAATTTTATTCAAAATTTCATATTGTTTACATTAATTTCGGTGAAATCGTGTATGTCACTGTTATTTACAGCAACCACTGTCAGATTGCCCCTATTGACACCTTGAAACGAACTTTAGTTGACAGAGAATGGATACATATATTATGAATGCCATACTTTGACTCGTTAAAAGTCATATTTGTGGTAATATGATTATAATATGTCAACATAATGTTTTTGCAATTGAAATACATATAGAATTGTGAAATAAATTGTGACTGGTCAAATTGGTCATTTGTAAAAATATCCTGCAATAGCAATCACCTGTACCAACGTGCTATGCTTATGGTTCTTATAATTTTTATATATATAGTAAAAGCTGAAACTAAAGTAACACGATATTGGAATATGTTATTCCTGATAAAACAATAATTTCAGATACAATTTCTTCCGACCATTGCATCAAAATTCTTTAAAGTTGTATCATTGGGTAGATTGGAAGAAACATGTGTACAGCTGATTGCTATTTCCAGCTTAGTTTACAAGAAAATACACACAGTAATCGTAATCTCTGCATATAAAACAGTGCCTATGAGAGCAGGAAATACAATTTTAATTGCAATCATCGTTTTATTGATGTTTTATATCAAATTTCATATTTTTATTGACCAAGCACATGACACTTGATAAATACTTTTTTACACTATGAATCATAAATCAAAGCGCTGATTGTTGTGTTGGTCATCTACCCCCCTATGACTCCACCTCCGTTAAGACACAACAGCAGGAGACATTGTCAGTACCCAGAGGGCATCTCTGTCACTTTACAATGTTGACATTTTAATTTTTCTGAAAAAGAACCTGAAGTTGAACTATTCGGACTGAAGCACATTGATTATTTTCTACTTTGAAGCTTGAAACTTCAGTAGTCTTGTTATTATAAAATAATTTTAACTGTTCCAAAATCATGAAAGGTCCAATCTTGACATGCATGAAGTCTTGAAACTTAACAAATGCTTGAGTACTGTTATCTGTTGATTTTCTTTAATGTTGCATATCGAGATACATATCGTATCGTGAACATTATATCGAAATACGTATTGTATCTTGACCATCCTGTATCGTTGCAACTCTTCTGTTTTCTTGTCGTAGTGGAAGAATAGAGATAAACCTTAGCTGTTTTTAAATTTGATCTAGTCCTACTGTAGAGTAGGTACCTCATTAGATACCTCTTTTATGAAACTTTCATAGCAGCATATTGAAAAGTTTATTTAAGGCAATAAGTCAGCCAATTTTACTCCAATTGTAATAAAAGAGTGTTGCTCACACATATGTGTTCTGTTTCAATAAATTCAGCTAATCTAAATTTTAAGCTTTATTTGACCTTTTTTGCTTTGACCATGCCACTAAATTCTCTCAAAATGCAGTTCCTTGCACAATAACATTTCCTCAGAAACCAGTGTACCAATGAAGGTGAAACTTCATGCCTTTGTTCCAACCATTGGTGACACCCAAATTGTTCAAGTGCACCACTGCACCCATATTGAAATTCTATTTATGGTTGCAAATCAGTTATATTGGATCAAAATGTAAAATCAAAATGAAATAAGATATGTTTTTGTCGTAGTGGCCATCAAAACGTCTCCTGCTTTTTGTGATGTTTTAAGTTTTGACTTTAAGTTGACATTTGCATTTGAAAGATGCTCGGAGTTTTCCAACATCATCTCCTCCGAAAGCATTGGACAAACGAAGCTGAAACGTGGCTTTCTTGTTCCCATCAATGATTACACCTGAATTCATTTAAGAGCAGCAATATTGAAAGTCCAATGTATGACCATGAGCTACAGAGCCTTGTGGTTCTATTGATTTATTTATATATATCATTCGAGTTGTTTTTTCATCATTATAAGGTTGACTTATTTCTTCATAATTTATGATAATCATCTTTACATAAAATGTTTTGATAATTATTTTCAGCATGACCATGTCTCCTTGGTGCAGCAAGACGTGAATCACTTGACAGAAGGTATGTCCAGCATGCAGGAAACAGGATATCTGAGATGTAGCTTAGATATCTGCACCCTTGATTATAGATACAAGGTAGGGAGGGAAGTAGCCTAGATATCAGCACCCTTGATTATAGATACAAGGGAGGGAGACGTAGCCTAGATATCAGCACCTTTGATTATAGATACAAGGGAGGGAGAAGTAGCCTAGATATCTGCACCCTTGATTATAGATACAAGGGAGGGAAGGAGACGTAGCCTAGATATCAGCACCTTTGATTATAGATACAAGGGAGGGAGGGAGAAGTAGCGTAGATATCTGCACCCTTGATTATAGATACAAGGGAGGGAAGGAGTCGTAGCCTAGATATCTGCATCCTTGATTATAGATACAAGGGAGGGAAGTAGCCTAGATATCTGCACCCTTGATTATAGATACAAGGGAGGGAGAAGTAGCCTAGATATCAGCACCTTTGATTATAGATACAAGGGAGGGAAGTAGCCTAGATATCTGCACCCTTGATTATAGATACAAGGGAGGGAAGTAGCCTAGATATCTGCACCCTTGATTATAGATACAAGGGAGGGAGGGGGAAGTAGCCTAGATATCTGCACCCTTGATTATAGATACAAGGGAGGGAGACGTAGCCTAGATATCAGCACCTTTGATTATAGATACAAGGGAGGGGGAAGTAGCGTAGATATCTGCACCTTTGATTATGGATACAAGGGAGGGAGAAGTAGCCTAGATATCTGCACCCTTGATTATAGATACAAGGGAGGGGGAAGTAGCCTAGATATCTGCACCCTTGATTATAGATACAAGGGAGGGAGACGTAGCCTAGATATCTGCACCCTTGATTATAGATACAAGGGAGGGGGAAGTAGCCTAGATATCTGCACCTTTGATTATGGATACAAGGGAGGGAGAAGTAGCCTAGATATCAGCACCTTTGATTATGGATACAAGGGAGGGGGAAGTAGCCTAGATATCTGCACCTTTGATTATGGATACAAGGGAGGGGGAAGTAGTGTAGATATCTGCACCCTTGATTATAGATACAAGGGAGGGAGGGGGAAGGAGCCTAGATATCAGCACCTTTGATTATAGATACAAGGGAGGGAGGGGGAAGTAGCGTAGATATCTGCACCCTTGATTATAGATACAAGGGAGGGAGGGGGAAGTAGCGTAGATATCTGCACCTTTGATTATAGATACAAGGGAGGGAGACGTAGCCTAGATATCAGCACCTTTGATTATAGATACAAGGGAGGGAGGGGGAAGTATTGTAGATATCTGCACCCTTGATTATAGATACAAGGGAGGGAGGGGGAAGTAGCGTAGATATCTGCACCTTTGATTATAGATACAAGGGAGGGAGGGGGAAGTAGCGTAGATATCTGCACCCTTGATTATAGATACAAGGGAGGGAGGGGGAAGTAGCGTAGATATCTGCACCTTTGATTATAGATACAAGGGAGGGAGGGAGAAGTAGCGTAGATATCTGCACCTTTGATTATAGATACAAGGGAGGGAGGGGGAAGTAGCGTAGATATCTGCACCTTTGATTATAGATACAAGGGAGGGAGGGGGAAGTAGCGTAGATATCTGCACCTTTGATTATAGATACAAGGGAGGGAGGGGGAAGTAGCGTAGATATCTGCATCCTTGATTATAGATACAAGGGAGGGAGGGAGAAGAAGCCTAGATATCAGCACCTTTGATTATAGATACAAGGGAGGGAGGGAGACGTAGCCTAGATATCAGCACCCTTGATTATAGATACAAGGGAGGGAGGGGGAAGTAGCCTAGATATCAGCACCCTTGATTATAGATACAAGGGAGGGAGAAGTAGCCTAGATATCAGCACCCTTGACTAAAGATACAAGGGAGGGAGGGAGACGTAGCCTAGATATCTGCATCCTTGATTAAAGATACAAGGGACGCAGGGAGAAGAAGCCTAGATATCTGCACCCTTGATTATAGATACAAGAGAGGGAGACTTAGCCTAGATATCTGCATCCTTGATTATAGATACAAGGGAGGAAGGGAGAAGAAGCCTAGATATCTGCACCCTTGATTATAGATACAAGGGAGGGAGAAGTAGCCTAGATATTAGCACCTTTGATTATAGATACAAGCAGGGGTCCGGAAAATTTAAAATCCCAATTGGACATTTACATTTATGCCACGCTCCCTCCAAACAGCGTGTTTTAGTACGACTTTTTACACACAAATTACAAGTTGTTACGTATTCATAATATGATGAATTATGAATTGTTTCAATTTAAATTGTTTAATTCACCGGACAATTAATAACAAATAATATCATTTTAGATATATATGGAAAACATACGTTTGTTTCTGTTATAATAAGGATCTGTCAACGTTGTGAACCGTCTAATTAATATTCATGAGTCTGCTCAAGTGTACGCGTTGTAACATTTGGATCGAGACTATTATCCCATATTTGGTTATCACGTGACCTCACGGGAAATATTTTTTTTAAACTAAAGATTATTTAAAAACAAGACCGATAATATAATCATAAATCCTAAACTATTGTTGATAGCAACAGTTATTTGAATACTTTTTCATCTGTACTTAATTATTGACCATATAAAAAATTGATATCGATCGTCACAGAAAGCAAAATGGCGGTCAATTAAGATTCAATATACGACTAGCTACTGAAAACAATAAAATCTGCAAATCCTCATTGTATGTCAACCAAGTGAAAGTCGTTAGCCACGACTTACAAAATGATCAGAACCGCTCGACTGATCTGCATCGGTCGACTGGCTGTCGTCACGCTTTCGCTTCTTGTCTGAGGTTACGTATCGTAGCTTTGTGAGGATAATGAGGTACATCGATGATGCAAGGTATTAATGTACAGTTGTAAACACATTTTACTCAAATTAACAAGGTTTTCTCAGTAATTAATCCTCGATTAATCATTGTCAACTCAGTTTATTGCCTATTACAGTGATTGACCGATTGGACTATCATTGTAGGTACGATGTATTTACAGCAATCAAAACAAACAAAGCTTGTAGATAATCTTCATTGTGTTACAACTGCAGACAGAAACTGCTCAGTCCTAACTGTTGATCATGTCCGGTCAAAATTTAAGAATGTCCGGACAATACTTTTTAAAATGTCCGGACAGAAAAAATTAAATGTCCGGTAAGCAATATTTTAAACCGGACATTTGAGATTCCCAATCGGACATGTCTGGCGCATATGACGGTTTCCGGACCCCTGGATACAAGGGAGGGAGAAGTAGCCTAGATATCTGCACCCTTGATTATAGATACAAGGGAGGGAGACGTAGCCTAGATATCTGCACCCTTGATTATAGATACAAGGGAGGGAGACGTAGCCTAGATATCTGCACCCTTGATTATAGATACAAGGGAGGGAGAAGTAGCCTAGATATCAGCACCCTTGATTATAGATACAAGGGAGGGAAGTAGCCTAGATATCAGCACCCTTGATTATAGATACAAGGGAGGGAGAAGAAGCCTAGATATCTGCACCCTTGATTATAGATACAAGGGAGGGAGACGTAGCCTAGATATCTGCACCCTTGATTATAGATACAAGGGAGGGAGGGGGAAGTAGCCTAGATATCAGCACCTTTGATTATAGATACAAGGGAGGGAGAAGTAGCCTAGATATCTGCACCCTTGATTATAGATACAAGGGAGGGAGAAGTAGCGTAGATATCAGCACCTTTGATTATAGATACAAGGGAGGGAGGGGGAAGTAGCCTAGATATCAGCACCTTTGATTATAGATACAAGGGAGGGAGACGTAGCCTAGATATCAGCACCTTTGATTATAGATACAAGGGAGGGAGGGAGACGTAGCCTAGATATCAGCACCTTTGATTATAGATACAAGGGAGGGAGAAGTAGCGTAGATATCAGCACCCTTGATTATAGATACAAGGGAGGGAGAAGTAGCCTAGATATCTGCATCCTTGATTATAGATACAAGGGAGGGAAGTAGCCTAGATATCAGCACCCTTGATTATAGATACAAGGGAGGGAGAAGTAGCCTAGATATCAGCACCTTTGATTATAGATACAAGGGAGGGAAGTAGCCTAGATATCAGCACCTTTGATTATAGATACAAGGGAGGGAGAAGTAGCCTAGATATCTGCATCCTTGATTATAGATACAAGGGAGGGAAGTAGCCTAGATATCAGCACCCTTGATTATAGATACAAGGGAGGGAGAAGTAGCCTAGATATCAGCACCTTTGATTATAGATACAAGGGAGGGAAGTAGCCTAGATATCAGCACCTTTGATTATAGATACAAGGGAGGGAGAAGTAGCCTAGATATCTGCATTCTTGATTATAGATACAAGGGAGGGAGACGTAGCCTAGATATCAGCACCCTTGATTATAGGTACAAGGGAGGGAAGTAGCCTAGATATCAGCACCTTTGATTATAGATACAAGGGAGGGAGAAGTAGCCTAGATATCTGCATCCTTGATTATAGATACAAGGGAGGGAGACGTAGCCTAGATATCAGCACCCTTGATTATAGGTACAAGGGAGGGAAGTAGCCTAGATATCAGCACCTTTGATTATAGATACAAGGGAGGGAGAAGTAGCCTAGATATCAGCACCTTTGATTATAGATACAAGGGAGGGAAGTAGCCTAGATATCAGCACCTTTGATTATAGATACAAGGGAGGGAGAAGTAGCCTAGATATCTGCATCCTTGATTATAGATACAAGGGAGGGAAGTAGCCTAGATATCAGCACCCTTGATTATAGATACAAGGGAGGGAGAAGTAGCCTAGATATCAGCACCTTTGATTATAGATACAAGGGAGGGAAGTAGCCTAGATATCAGCACCTTTGATTATAGATACAAGGGAGGGAGAAGTAGCCTAGATATCTGCATTCTTGATTATAGATACAAGGGAGGGAGACGTAGCCTAGATATCAGCACCCTTGATTATAGGTACAAGGGAGGGAAGTAGCCTAGATATCAGCAC